GGTGGGCCAAGGGTTGAGCCCCCCGCCCCCGGCAAAGTCGGTGCCTGTGCTTGCACAGTAAGGGAAGCTGCCACTGCGCAAGGTGCTTCTCCTAACCTACAGCACCTTCAGCCTCCTTATCTGCCTCATTGTCTGCAGTGCCAGTGGGCTGTGCCTGTGTGGGATAAGGCAGGGATACCTCCCAACTATAGTACTGTACCGTATGTACAGTAAGTTTGTAAACACACAGCACGTGCACACTACCACCCACCCCCAGCGATTCACTGTTGCTTTATAGCCCAACGACCCTACTCGGGAAGAGGGGGCAACACCAAGCACTTGCAAGGCCACCAGCTGCCTGCAAAGCAGCTGCAGGTGGTGCACAACAGAGGCCCTGCCTTGGGACAGAATAAACAATGTTTTATCTGCTCCCCTCCCCCCCTTTGCTGGAGGGAGGTAAGAACACAGGGGGCGGCAGCCCGCCCAAAGCAAGTTACAGGAATAGCGTTCCAGCGCCTGCTTCACTGTAGCAAGGGGGAGAAGTGGCATAGATATGCACAGAACCTGGCCCTACTCCCATGAAAGTCTCTGAAATCCACGGGAGCTTTGCCATTCACGTTAATGCCAGCTGCATCTCTCTGCCCCTGCATGCACACAAAAGAGAGGGGCAAAGCCCTGCAGCAAACATTATTTTCCTCCTCTTACTACATTGGCTGCAATGCTGCCTGGATGCTGAGTGCATGGTTACTAGGGGAGATACAGCAGGGCCAGTTTTCCAGGGCATCCTGGAAAAGAGGCCTTTGGACCTCCAGCAGGGCTCCTGTGAAAGTAAGAACCTCCATAACTAGTTCTCGCCTAAACCCACAGGGCTTCCAGCAGGGGAGCAGATTACCATGGAGAATGACATGGGTTTTCCAAATTCTTTCCCTGGCAATAGTTGATTGATGCTGCATGACCCCGGCCACTCCAGGCTGAAGCGAGTGAAGAATAGCACATGCATGCGCGTCCGAAGGAGCATCACCCAGCATAAGTCAAAAACATCCAACAAGTGATAGTGGAGTGCCTAGCAGTAGCAGTACCACTAGCAGCAAGAAAACCAGGAAACCCATTAGTTTGGGTACTAAATTAGACATTTTAAAGCGTTTTCATGCAGGTGAGCGTGCAGTAGACATTGGCATGGCTCTAGGTCTTACTCCGACCACTGTGAGAACAATTCGAAATAATGCCGACAAGATCAGGGCTAGTGCTCGGTGTGTAACACCGCTTAGTGCTACTACAATAAGTCGCTCAAGAAGTAGTTTGCTGGAAGACATGGAGCGTCTTCTCTCACTGTGGATAGAGGACCAAAACCAGTGGAACACACCTCTACATTTGCTAGTGATACAAGCTAAGGCAAAAAGTTTGTATGACAATTTGAAGAGAGACCAAGGTGAAAGATCACAGACAGACTTTCACAGCAAGTCGGGGATGGTTTGATCGGTTCAAGAAGCACTTCCACCTGCATAACATCAAGATGTCCGGTGAGGCGGCTAGTGCTGATACTGCAGCAGCTAAAAAATCCCCCGACTATCTCAAAAACATAATTGAGGAAGGTGGCTATTCCCCTAAACAAGTCTTCAATGTGGATGAAACGGGCCTGTACTGGAAGAGGATGCCTGAGCGGACTTACATTTCCCAAGAGAAGACAGCGCCCAGATTTAAAGCAGCTAAAGACCGTCTAGCCTTGCTTCTAGGTGGTAATGCTGACGGAGACATGAAGATGAAACCACGGACAGCGTCCCAAGGGATTTTCAAAGGAACACCTTCTGGTCATTTGGAGATCCAATAAGAAGGCATGGATAACTGGAGCTATTTTTTTCAGAATGGCTGACTCTATGCTGTCCCTGCATGGAAGGAATACTGTGTCAAGGAAAATCTTGATTTCAAGATTTTATTGCTTATTGATAATGCACCGGCTCATCCAATCAACTGGACGACCTGTGCGAAAACGTCAACGTTGTCTTTCTGCCACCTAACACCACATCATTCATCCAACCCATGGACCAAGGAGCCATCGCTGCATTTAAGGTGCATTACTTACACCGTACTTTTGACCAGCTCAGAGGCACCGATGGGGAAGGCAAACCTACGATTCAGCAATTTTGGCATGACTACAACATCCTGAAGTGCATCAATAACATTGGTGAGTCCTGGGCTGAAGTTACTCAGGCATGCATGAATGGGGCGTGGGGGAAGTTGTGGCATGAATGTGTCAATGTCGTAAAAGGATTTAAAGATGTTGTCCCTGCTATGAAGAAAGATATCCTCGGCTTAGCCAAGAAAGCAGATTTTGATGAGGTGGAATAAGTCGACGTTACACAACTTCTGCAATCACACGGAGAAGAGCTAACCAATGAAGATCTGATGCAACTAGCGGTGACAAGAGCAATGGAAGAAGAGGTCCAAGAAGTAGAAAAACAACCAACCCATTGAAATTTGACTGCCAAACATCTTTATGAAGCTTTCCAAATGATTGAAGCTGGCTTGCAAATCCTTAGTGATGACGATCCTGACAGGGAACGCAGCTCCAAAGTGATTAGGGGAGTTGGTCATCTAATGACTTGCTATAAAGAAATTTACGAAGAAAAAAAAGGAAAGCAAAACAACAATCTCTAGATGTGTTTTTTCAAGTTCAGAAAGTTCAGCAAGAACAGCAAGAGGAACAGCTGGACAATCCACCCTCTTCCACTCTCTGACTCCACTACCTCAACCAAGCTTCATACTCAGGAATGATGACTGTAATATTAAATTGCTTGTTTAAAATGTATATAATGCTTTTTTGTCTGGCAAAAAATTTTCCCCACTGGAACCTGCCCCCCCCCACCCATTTACATTAATTCTTATGGGGAAATTGGATTCGCTTAACATCATTTTGCTCAGAAACATAACTACAACTTTAAGTGAGGAGTTACTGTATCTTTTGATGCCAGCTACAACAGTGCCATGCGAATGCCTGTTCTCACTTTCAGGTGACATTGTAAACAAGCAGTGGGCAGCATTAGCTCCTGCAAATGTAAACAAACTTGTCTGTCTGATCGATTGGCTGAACAAGAAGTAGGACTGAGTGGACTTGTAGACTCTAAAGTTTTACATTGCTTTATTTTTGAATACAGTTATTTTTTGTACAGAATTCTACATTTGTAAGTTCAACTTTCATGATAAAGAGATTGCACTAGAGTACTTGTATTAGGTGAATTGCAATACTTTTTTTTTGTTTCTTTTTTAAAAATGCAACCATTTGTAATAAAAAATATAAAGTGAGCACTGTACACTTTGTATTCTGTGTTGTAATTGAAATTGTGGAAAACATCCAAAAATATTTAAATAAATGGTATTATATTATTGTTTAACAATGTGATTAATTGGATTTAATGTTTTTAATCACTTGTCAGCCCTACAAATAAGCAAAATTAGTAGCCTAATTAGGCTACTGGTGTCGTGTTATTCGCAAAGATTTTGATAAATGGGTCAATATCTTGATTTACTTATATAATCTAGCCTGTTGTACAGCCACATCCTTGAAAACAACAGAAAAGTTGCATGGCTGAAAGAATACTTCGATGTGTGGGATTCAGTGATTTAAAATGCAAGGCGTTACCAATCTCACCATACTAATACAATATCTTTTGCATTTGCAGTATTTGAGACTAATACTAGAAGCTGAAATAAAAGCATACATCCTTCTGAAATAATTATTCCCATTTTACAATAAGACAATTATGGCAGTCTGGGAAATGTGTCTATATGAAATTTGTGAATTTAGGTTGATTTTATGAAACTGCTCTAGCACTGAACAAGTCATTCATTACCAGTGCTAGTGTCACATATCTCAAGGATCAGGAACAAGCGAGTCATTAAAACTGACTAGCCTTCCACTCAAATGGGAGCACATTAAAACAATGGGATATCTGCAGGCTAGGGGAAAGCCAGTTCTACCCAGGTTATCTAGAGGAGAAGGGGTTGATCAGTGGAAAATCCACAGCAGAAAAGAATGAACAAAGAAACATGGTGTTAGAACTTTCTTTAAAAAAAAAAAAAAAATACAGACTCTAGGGAACATGAAGGTTCTTTGAGGAGGGAGAACCTTTGAACCACTGGTTCTGAACAAGGTAAAGGGAGCTTGTTGCACGAGTGAGAGGAGATTCCATGATCAGGAAAAGAAGCCTGAGATGGGAAAGTGGGGTCCAGGAGAAAGGACCTGGGACCCCAGAAGAAACTCACCAAAAGCCCAAGAACACTCAAGAGTGGAGAGGACTCTGAGGGACGGAAATGCATACTGGCATTCCTTCTAACACTTAATCATTTTACATTTTTTTTTTAAATGATATAAGAAACTAAAGCCTATTCTATATTCTACAGCACAGAAGTCAATTGAGAATCAAATTAGAATCAAACAAGTTAGAACCTGGTGGGGTATAGTCTCAAAATCGGTTTTCCTTAAGTTGTTTGGTGAACTGGCTAACTTAGGTTATTCAGGCCCTTTCAGGCAATTCCACAATGGCATTCACAAAGTAAGTTCTTGCAAATATTTTCAAACCAAAAAATAAAAAAGTGGAGGTTTGGTATGATTATACATTCACACACATACATGTCTGGATCACTACTTATTCAGATAAATTATTGCACAACCAGTTATGTGGACCTAACTTAAAAACTTTTCCCCTTCACTACTTAAAATGACTTGCATTGCGTATCAAGAAAATTAGTACACTATCACTTTGTGGGACAAGGTGAAGTAGACTAAAAAGTATACATCACCAGGTATAAAGCACATCTCATCGCAAGTGCATCATACATATTTAACATAGTAACTGAAATAGGTTAGTATAAACCAGTTACATACAGTTTAGACAGGGTTAAACTATTTTCAGAACCAGAATACCTTTGTGCTAGTTAGACAGGACTTTAATGAACTAGAATGTTGGGTCTCTCACTTAAAAGACATAGTAAAAGAATACTTAAAGATTAAAAAAAATCTGTACCTTTGACTCCACGTTGCTTAACAAGAGAGGAATGTCAGAAGATGATGGCTTTGATAGGCCCAACGAGTCACAGAGAGTTTGCACTTCCTGATAGATTTCGTTATTCTTTTCCAAATGAGAACTTTTAAGTTGCTTGCTGTGCAATATCTGTAAAGCTTGAAGCTCTGTACTTAAAAATACTAGAGAGAAAAAAAGTGTCATAATAGCATCTTTAAGACATCTTAAATATTTTTGTGCCTGTTTTCTCATAGTAAATAAAACATACATGTAATACAAATGTAACAGAAAAGGAGTAGGCAGAGTTCTGCAAACTTAATGAAAAATGCCAAAGAGTTACTATTTTATACAAACTAATTAGAAAGAGTTATAAGCATGTAATTGGTTGGTACTCAGTTTTTTGGGAAGAGGCCTACTTCCTTCCTGACAAAGACCACCAATATAATTCTGTTTTTCTCTAATATGGGATTTTCTTATAAATTTTTCAGATTCATCATAAGCAAGTTATATTTCCTCTAGAAATCCTCAAAATATTGCCCATATATGTGTAACTGGCAGTGCCACCTATTAAGATTGTCCAACATGTCACATTACAAGACCCCATTTTCAGTTGTTTATACCTTTGCCAAACTTTAATCGTCTGGGCTGACATTTTTCAAGCTGAGTTCAAAAGTCATGAAAGGTGAAAACTGAGGTTGCCTACGCAATCATGTCATTAAAGAGTGTCATTAATCCATACAGCATGAATTAAGGTTGACAGACAAGCTTATTTCTAGCATTTCCTAATTTTTGAGCACTTGACTTTGCAACCTCAGGCCTGGTCTACACTTAAAAGTTAAAAATTAAGTCCTAGTCTGAATCTCTATGTCCAACCAGTTCAAGCTTTCCCTCCACACACATATCACTGTGCTTCCAGTGCCAGTCTCCTTGTCCAGCCAGTCCCTCGGGTTCCTTATCCCAATGTATCTCCCCACCCCATAGAGCCAGCTCTTGTCCCCTTTACATTTGAGTCAGGCAGTTTCTTCCTCCACACTACCTAGGTGCCAGCAGGGAGGTCATTGAGAGCACAGGAGAGAGACTCCCTGCTCTCAGTTTCACTGCCGTACCTAATCTGAAGCAGCTGTTACAGGGAAAGTCCAGCTTCTTCCCTGTATCTCCAGGCTGGAGCATTTGCAGTTACTCTGTTGGGATGGCACATGTACAGTCTGGTGACACACAGGAACTGTGAATGGCTGCAGCATGCTCAGTGCTGATGGAATCTTCAAATATCTTAACTACTTTAATCTCAGCTAAAGCACTCACATACAGATGCACAGGCAACGTTTATGCTGGTATTTTCTAACTTCTGCGTGCTTGACTTTGAAAAGTTAATTTTCTTTTAACACAGTTTTTGGTGTGTAATATAATTAGCAACCAGAAAACTGTATTTTGACACTCAAAGGAGGTAGAGCATCACTGATATTAAAAAACAACTAGTATTTTCTATGCCACTTGAACCCTAAAGGCTATTGGGTATTCTTAATTACTGCACAAAACTCCCATTGAGTTATACTTATAGATCAAGGGCTTCAGAACGTAACTGTGAAGACAAATATGAGGCAAAGGAAATATCAACACTGAAGACGGTGGAAGATAAGCAACCAAAAATGTGGAACTTAAACGATGTTAGAGATGAGAAATATGCAAAAGATTAAATAAGAGGACAAAGAGTTTACAAAAAATAAATATTATTGCAAGAGGGAAAATTGTCGCAACTTACACAGGAGTTTAAGACAATCCTCTTTCTTTTTTAACCTGTCCTTAATATCTCCAGACACAAGTGCTGAATATGGGCAAGCCATTTCTTTTAAAAAACCACTAATCTCAAGCTGGAAGCTCTCTACATCTTCCCCACCTTAAGAAAAAAAAGAAAAAAGATCATTGCAAAATTCAACGTTTTTTAATTTTAAACTCAAATTTGTTATTAAGAAAATTAATTATAATTACAAGTTTAAACATAATATATTAGTTTATGTAGAAACCAATCCAATAGGACTTGCTGTTATCTTAAATTAAAAACTGAGTCCTATACATAAATAAGCAACAATTTTAATCAGTTGAAGTGGACTAATAGTTTACATCTAGTGTAAGGTGAGTGGGATAGGCTTTATTTTCCCTTCAAACCATAACAACATGGTTGTCATTTTTATATCACAAATCATAGATCATAGTTAGGGCCCTACTAAATTCACAGTCTATTTTGGTCAATTTCATGGTCATGGGTTTTTTTTTAAAATAGTAACTTTCATGATTTCAGCTACTTAAATCTGAAATTTCACGGTGTTGTACTTGTAAGGGTCCTGACCCCAAAAGGAGTGGGGGGTGGGGGGGAACACACCAGATTTCACGGTCCGTGACCCATTTTTCATGGTCGTGAATTTGGTAGGGCCCTAAACATAGTAATAGGATGAAATTTAATAGTGCAAAGTGCAAGGTCATGCACTTAGGAACTAACAAAGGAAAATTTTTGCTATAAACTGGGGACTTGGTTGGAAGTGACAGAGGAGGAGAAAGACCTAGGTCTACTGATTGATCACAGGACCAAAGAAGGGCTACTAGCATGATCAGAGGAATGGAAAACCTACCTTATGAGAGGAGATTCAAAGAGCTTGGCTTGTTCAGCCTAACCCAGTGGTTTTCAACCTGTGGTCCACAGACCCCTGGGGTCCACAGACTCTAAAATTTCCAAAGGGATCCGCATCTTCGTTTGAAATTTTTTAGGGGCCTGCAAATGCAAAAAAGGTTGAAAACCACTGGCCTAATCAAAAGAAGGCTGATGGGAGAGATGATTTTCTCTATAAATACATGAGAGGGATAAATACCAGGGATAGGCAAGAATTATTTAAGTTAAGTGTCAGTATTGATAAGAATAAACGGTTACATACTGGTCATCAATAAATTTAGGCTTGAAATTAGATAAAGGTTTCTAATCATCAGAGGAGTAAAGTTCTGGAACAGCCTTCCAAGGGGGGTAGTGGAGGTAAAAATAACTTAACTGGCTTCAAGACTGAGCTTGAGAAGTTTATGGAGAGTAGTATGATGTGACTACCTACAATGGCATATAGCCGATCTGCGACTTCTAGTAGCAAATATCTCCAACAGCCCATGGGACACTAGATGGGGGAGGGCTCTGAGTTACTACAGGGAATTCTTTCCCAGCTGGCTGGCTGGTGGGTTTTGACCACATGCTTGGGGTGTAACTGACTGCCTTATTTGGGGTTAGGAAGGAGTTTTCCCCAGGTCACATCGGAAGAGAGCCCAGGGGTTTTACCTTCCTGGGAAGCATACATTACTTGCACGTTTAAACTAGCATAAATAGTGGATTCTCTATAATGGAGGATTCTCATGATTTGAGGACTTCAGTAACTCAGCCAGCGATTATAGGTCTATTACAGGAGTGGGCAGAAGAGGTCTGTGGCCTGCAATGTGCAGAAGGTCATACTAGATGATCATGATGGTCCCCTCTGGCCTTAATGTCTACCTCGTAGGATGTTTTCACATAAAGAAGTTATGGAGGGAAAACTTAACTAAACGAGGTACCTACATATTGTTTTATCATTTCATCACAAAAATATAGAGTCTACAATCATTTGTAGGTTGTATGTAAATGCCTTTTTATAGTAAGGATGTTTTAAAAGAATTAAGAAAATTTTAAACACACCAACACATGAGTTTTACCCTTGGGTTTGTTCTTTACTACAACTATCTTACTCCTAAGCATCAATACTGTTTCTTTGACTAAGATTACAAGGTTATTATTAAACAAAATATAAATGATAAACAATAAACAGTCTTAAGCAACCACTACATTATTTCAATAAATTAAAGTTCAAATTCTGTGGAAATACCAGCTGTTGAAGTGATGCTTTCTTCCAGGTCACACACTGATTTTATTTCAGAACTTAACCAAACACAAAGCTCAGAAAAGTCTGGTGAAGATAATCCATTTTCTACTGCTTTGCTAAGTGCTTCCTCCTCTAACAGGGGACCTTTATACCTGAACGGGGGGAGGAAGGGGGGGAAAAATACCAGTATAAAAAAAAAAGTTTGACAAATACAGCACCGGGATTTTAAATTTATTTTCATATAAGTTGTTTCACAGTAGTTAGAAACCGGATTAATCCATTACAATTTTTTAGATCACTGAACACATAATTCACAGGTCTTACAAATATTTAACACCTAAGAAAATTTGTAAAAGAAGTTATGCAGCACTAACGTTAATCTTCTGACAAGGCAGAAAGTATGCATGTGTTTATGTATCACAGATATGTAAAACCACTTAAATAAAAGTATAAATACAATGTCTAAGATTTGGACTATGCTGAAGAGATTATAAATAAGGACACAATTTAAATGGACTTAGTCGATTTAAAAAAGTTGTAAAGAAAATTTGAAGTAATAGGTAAAACAGTTATTAGCAGTGAAATAATTTGAAAATCAAATATACTTATTATTTATGCCCTGTTTTATTTTCATTGTCCAAACTCAGGGAAATGCAAAAAGTAATGAAATCTCTTTCATTTTGCTCACTTTCAGGTTCTTGGTACTGCAACCTTTGAGGTTCAGATTCTATAGGGAAATGTTTAAAAACAGTTCTCATTGCAGTTTTTAAAATTACACTGTAAACTCATCCTTATTTTAATTTCTTCAAATCATTATCTCTAGCAGAGTTCACAGGACCTAGGTTTTTTTCAGGATTGGTACATTCTATTGTTGTGGGATTCTGTTCTTGATGAATTTCTGTATCAAGTAAAAGACCATGCTGCATAGATTTCTCCTTTAGTTCTTGCTTGGTCTCCTAAGAGCATATAGGTGCTCATATACCACATATATAGAACAGAAGAAATATCTTCATTGCCTTTGCAATCTCATGCAAGCTAACAATGTTTGTCATCATTTATAGCTTTACAGACATAGAGGGTTAGTGTAACACTTCCCTCTTCCATGAGATGTACATCTAAGATCTCTATTTCATGATTACACTTGAGGGAGATACAAATATACATAGTTTTCACTATCCTAATATGTTCAAAACCATTAAATGATTAACTCTAAATATGCGTCAAATAGGTAGTAAAACGTAAAGGAAGTCTTGCTTTTCCATATAATATGATCTAAATATATTCTCTATGAAACATCCAAGATTTTACCAATTTATGTGATTGTATTGTCAGTGTATCAAGAAAGGGTTATTTTGAAATCTTAGGGCCCAATTCTGAGAAGTGCACTGTATGTGCCTCTATGGAGCCCCACTGACTTCAACAGGGCTCCTCTTGGGTCCAAGTTTCCACCCACACCAACAAACTTGCAGGATGGGGACCCTATATTCAGAACTATTCCCAACAAACTGAATGCAGTAGGACTTACTTTAAGGAAGGCAAAGCTGAACGAATACATTGGAGAAAAACACACATCCCCTATTTGTAGCGTTTAACGCTTATTGATTTCTAGTCTTCCAATAGTCATTTAGTGGAATCATATATTTCCTTTTATTCCTACAGAAGTGTCCCATGCTAAGCACTCTAGCCCTCTTCCCCTTCAAAATAAGGTTCTGACAGGGTAAGCACAAAACACAGATGAATTACCCAGATCTCCCGGGTAAACACACACGTACTATGGTTTACGAAGTCCCTGCACCCATCCCTCGAGCTTGTGTACCCACTGCTCCCATACCCATCTCCACACCTTCCCCCCACGCGGCCCCCTCCAGAGGGTCGGTCCTTCCTAGGCGGGACAACAGCGTCCCTACCCCCTTCTCACCCACACTGCCGGGGGGGGGGGGCACAACTCTTTGAATCAACACAGGCCGTTGGCCCCCAAGGATCCCCCTGGGGATGATCCTTCCGCCGCAGTTTCCCCTTCTTCCTACTCTCGCTCCCCCACCCGCCCCAGATCCCGGCTGGGGGCCATTTCTCGGTGCAAGGGACACGCCGGAGCAGGCGCCCCCGTGTCGCTCCGAGTCCTGCAGGAGCAGCCCCCAGTCGCAGGCGGACAGCGCCAGCGGAAGCCAAGCTGCTCACAAGGCTTCGGGGGCTGAAGCGAGGGACTGTGGCGCCGAGGATCCAGCGCAGGCTGCTGCACTGGAGCTGCGGGAACCGTGGTATCCCCGCCCCGGCAAACGGGGCCCATGGCGCCTCTGCACAACGAGACAGGCCCGGCGGCGCCGGGGGCTGACAGGGCAGGAGGCCGCCCCCACGCACACTCACCCCAACGCCTCCAGCGCGTCTAGAATGTCGCTCTCCATTTTCAGCTCCTGCTCGTGCGCCCTCATGCTGCCGGCGCGGCCCTGCCGCCCCCAGACTCCGCCCCGCGCGGCCCCGAGTCCCCGCTTCAAACAGGCCCCGCCCCGCACAGCCTCCGTTTCCCCACCACGCAGGCCCCGCCCCGCACGGCCTCGGGTTCCGCCCCCCACAAGCCCCG